TCTCCAGCGTCTCCTCGTTCCTCGTGTGTGTGCATCGTGACAGTTCAAGGGGGCAGCATGGAAGGCCAGAAAGATGCAAAACATTGATAAACGATGGATAAACGCAGCTTGGAGGAAACCTTACGGCTCATATTTTTGCTCTTTAAGAATGTGAGTTTTCAGTTATTAAGTTGCTGAGCTACAAAATTAATATAAACACAGTTTGAGATCTCTTCTAAAACTCTAGAAGCCAGATTATAAAGTGAAATTATTAAGGTCTTTTTCTCAAAACAAAAAAGTTTTTTGTTCTAGCCAAAATATATTTCAAATATATGCTAAACATATGTTGTAAAAAGTGCAGCTTAAGGAAAATATATTTTTCTAACTAAAAACATTTTGAGACCTTCAAATGAAAATATATTTTCAATCTGAAAATGAATTTAGGGTAAATGCAATATATATGTATATACATATATAAAATAAATACATTTTGCATTAATTCTCTATATCTATCCATCTTAGAAACAACTGAAATATTAAAAAGGTCTTTTCTCTTTCCACTGAAGACTAATTTGATTCTCTTTGAAAAGGAGTCTGAAAATTACAGTTCTGTTTTGAGTCCAGGTAAAAAAGGCTTTTGCTTTGCCATCAACCCTTGGAGTCTGACAAAATACTTTCTTTTTAAAGAAACAATTCTGCACAAAGCCATTTATGACTGAAGGTTCCGGCCCGAAAATATCCTGTTCTCCATATCCTGATGCGGAAGCGAACCTGTGACCTGCAGTAAGATCAAAGAAGCAATTACGGACTCATACATTTACTTGTTTGCCGTGTCGAAAAGTCGAGTGGCATGCTAAGAGCCAAACCATGATCTCTGGATATTGGAAAAGCAATCAAACGGAAGACTAATTAATGAGCTTTTGAGTTATTGCTCAACTTGACACGAATCCTCATGGGAAAGGAGTAGGAGTTTAATCTAATGCTGAGATAAGTCATAAACATTCTTACAGACGGAAGAAGCTCTCTGATCAGTCGGCACAGAGACGATTAAACGCATCAGGATATCAGATGTTTTAGGAGATGGAAATTAAAGCTCTTGAGTTCTTGTTAGTCAGAATGCATGTGTGGCCCAATAACTTTGCGTTACGATGACCAAAGGTCATGCAATAGCTTTAGCTAGAGTAGATGTGATTTGAGTAGATTTTAGTTTTTTCCTCACACAAAATAACTGTATGACTTCAGAAGACTTAAAGGAATAGTTCACCCAAAAATGGAAATTTGTGGAAAATCTACTCACCATTAGGTCATCCAAGATGTAGATTGAGTTTGTTTCTTTATCATTTACAGATTTGGAGAAATGTAGCATTACATCGCTTGCTCGCCATTGAATCCTCTGCAGTGAATGGGTGCCGTCAGAATGAGAGTCCAAACAGCTGATAAAAACATCACAATAATCCACAAGTAATCCACACCACTCCAGTCCATCAGTTAACATCTTGTGAAGCAAAAAGCTGCGTGTTTGTGTTTAATCTATTTGACTGAATCTCTTTT